TTCCTTACTTTTTGTTGTGTGTGTGTGTGTGTGTGTGTGTTCCTGCTGGCCCCTTTGATGATTGTGGCAACTCTCCTTGGAACCCGCGTGGCGCTAACTGCCTTCGAACCAAATGCCAAGGCTGAGGGCCTTCTTCCCCTTCTCGTCGTCCCCCGGCGCGCGCGGCATGATGACCATAGGGACGAACAACTCGACGGAGCGAAGCCTTTGACGACAAGACCCATTTTGCTTCCTCGCTGACCCTCGCGCGCGCGCGGCCCTCTCCTTTCGCCTCCCCCCTTTTCGCTCCTCCCTCCCTGCGGCGGGTGCGGTGGCGCGCCGGTGATGCACCAAGCAACAACTGATGTAATGAGTCTGAGTTGCCCTGTGCGGACGCATTTTGCCCTGACGGGTGCTGGGTTATTGCCTTGTGCCATGGGGGCGGTTTAAAAGCACTTTTATTCGTGGTGGGCGGTGTGGGTGCTTAGATGCGTGTGCGGTAGCGGCCGCGTGCGAATAGCAGCATGAAGTGCGAGTGTCGATTTGCGCGTAAATGTTGTGGGTCTCTTCGCCATTTTGAGGAAAGGCTGCTATGTGTGTGTGTCAGGTGGGGTGGGCGGTGGTATAGCAGAAGCAAAAGGCGGAATAAAAGGAGGTAGTGGGCGAGGGTTAAAAATAGATAAACAAACATCAGGCACATAAAACGCACACTTTAAGCGAAGAACTTAAAACTACAATACACGAGTTGTTGTTAGTTTGCTTGCGTAGGTCTAGGCGATCGCTCGCAACGAATTGGCAACAACAGCATTGGCTTTGACCGGCCATGTGATGAGACGATGGGCGAATGGAAAGGACATCTGATAAATGTACGTGCTTGTGCAGCTATTCTGCGCCTCCTGCTTGGCGCAAATTGGCAGGCAGGACTATCTCCACCGCCACAGCGTCCCGGGCCTCGGCTTTGCCTTTTATCTTGCGCTCTTGTTGCGCCTTTGCCTTTTGTTCCCGTATCATTTCAAGCATGTGTGCGCGTTCCTTCTCACGTTTTTCGCGGCTCAACCGTTTTCCTTCCTCCTGCTGCAGTGGCGGCGCGGGGGAAGGAGCCCGCCGCCCCGCCAGTGAGTGGCTGCTCTTGATTCGTTTGGGTGCATGCAGGGCGTTCCCGCTCACGCTGCGGGCGGCGGATTGTTGGCGGATTAAAGGTGAGACGTTCATCTTTCCCGGCGTCTCGTTTTGCTCCTTTTTCTTGGCGTTGCTTTTTATACTCGCGGTGCGGCGTTGTGGTTGAACAGCTGCACCGCTGCGTGGTGGCGGCTGGGCCGTTACATGCGCCCGCACGCCCAGCACGAGGTCCGGCCTTAAGCGGGGCTCGTCGTCTCGCGCCTCCGCAGGCGGCAGCGTCGTTCGCTCGGGTGATGTCGCCACGCTGCTTCGCCGTCGATCGCGGCCGCGGTCGCGCTGGGCGTCTACTACTGAGGGGGGTGATGGTGCCAAAGTCTGTTCGTCAGACTGGCGAAACTTCGTCAGGTAGCGTTCAATGACGCCCATGTCGTGGTTGCGTGCGTGAATCCACTCCTCTAGTTTGGTATCCGCCACCGCCCCGTCACGGTGCGCTTCCAATGCCGGAGCTGCCTTCGCCAGCAGGGGCCGCTGGGGCAGCTGGGGCAGCTGGGGTGGTTGTTTTCGCTGTGGATTCGCACCCGCCGCACGTCTGGGGATGCTCGGCGGTGGGGTCCTTTCAATCTTCTCGCGCTCTGCCGCGCCCTTTGCGGCCGGCGGAGGGTGGGCTTTGGTTTTAATGGCCTGCTCCGTCAGCGCCAGCGCCTTTGCAAGACTCCACCGTTTTCCCGGGTCCACACGCAGCATGGACATCGTAATTTTGCGGATTTCGTCTGGGGTGGAGTGGGGCAGCGGGGAGATGTCGCCGGAGGTGATCTGCTGCACGAGGCCGGCAAAGTTAGTTGCGGTGAAGGGCCGCCGCAGTGCAGCCATCTCGTAGAAGACGCAGCCCAGCGACCATACATCGGAGGAGAAGCCGTGTGGTGTCCCTGTCAGCACCTCAGGGGAGGTCCAGATCGGGGTGCCGACGAAGGTGGACGTCAGCAAGGCCGAGCGCAGCAGCGCTTTGGCGGAGCCGAAGTCGCCGAGGTACAACTCCGTCGCGTCGGCGTTGAGAAAGATGTTGCTGGGTTTCACGTCACGGTGCACGATGTTTTGCTGATGGCAGCACTGCAGCGCCTCAATAAGCTGCTTAAACCAACGCAGCACCCGCAGCAGCTGCAGCGGCCTCTTTTTGCGCTGCAGCTGCTCGAGGTGCGCCTCAAGGTCTCCGCCCTCCGCGTAGGCGAGCACGGCGTAGAGCGCCCCATCGTGAACAAACGACTCCAAAAAAGGTATGATGTTCGGGTGCCGCACCCGCAACGACACGTTCAACTCCTGCACACCTTGCGTCCCATCCATCAAGCGCTTGATGACCACCTTCTTCTCATTCTGCTTGTCTACCGCCAGATGTGTCACCGTCGTCCCGCCCAGCCGCTTTAAAATCCTGTAGTGATCCATGCCCATCCTAACAGTTTATTTCCCTCCCAGCTGCTGTTTTATAATCCCCCGACTCGTCACAGTGGTGGCCTGCAATGACCGCCCGTATGACAACACCGTACTAGTAACCACGATACCGGTGCAAGTATATATACATATATATATATATATATATATATATATGTGCCTATATCTATATCTCTCTATATATATATATCTCTATAGATATATAGATGTAGATATATAGATGTATAGCGAGCCAAATGCGTATCCCTCTTTGCTTCCTTTTTATACCTCTTGTGTATCCCACTCACTCCTCCACTCCTTCCTTCCCCTACCCGCTCTATCCGATGGCTGCTACCTCCCCGCTCAGTTGTTGCCGCGGGTAGGCGGAGGATGGGGGGCCAAGCACGATGCGCGAAGGGGGGCGAGCAGAAACTGAAAGGTAAACAGCCGAAGAAGCCTGTGAAGGAGGTGGAGCAGAAAAAACAAAAAAACAAGGAAAAAAAAACACAAAACGGCGAGGGTGACACTTCAACGCCTCCCCGCACGGCCGCCGTACAGTTTCCTTCTGAGGTGTGTGGGCACAATTGCTTTTTGTACGTGTGCCCTTTTCCTCCCTCCCTCCTCCCGCTTCCCTGCCGCCGTTGCTGTTGCCAAAGAGTGCTTCGCCGAGACGGTCGCCAGCAGAAGGCCTGCACCTCCTCTACTTCAGCTCTCTGTGGCGTTTACAAATAAATAAAAACAAAAGAAAAAAAAACACAGAGAGAACGCGCGGCATGCGCATGGGGTGGGCGCCGCCACGCTCACTTAGCTCCCCCCATCCTGCTCCGTATCTCAGCCCTCCTTTTGTCTCGCACGTCGTGTCGTCAACCGACGTACCGCAGGAAGAAGTTGCAGTAACTCACCAGCAGCTCCGTCCGCAGAAAAATATCCACCACGGTGACACCACACACGTGCTCATCCACCACCGCAAATGGCCCGCACGACCGCACCAACTTCCTCACGCCCGCCGCCTTCCACGAGCATCTCGCAGAGCAGTTTCCCCTGCCAATCGCGGGAGCAACTCAAACGGTATGAGCGCCGTACATTGAGGCGAAACTGCGGGAAGTCGCCGCTCGCTCCTGAGCGCTGCGCCGCGACCTGTAACTTGGCGTCCCTGAGGGGAAAGGCGCAACTACGCCGCCCCTCGGCGTCACGGAAGACGAGGCGCTCTGTTTTGCTGCGGCCACCACTGCGCGTTGTGTCGAACCAAAACGCATCGACGTTTCACTCCGACAGCAGCGGCAAGTTCGCTGGAAGTGCGTACGCAACGACTCCGCTGGTGCTTACCAACGGCGGGGTGGGGGTGGAGTCCAGGCAGAAGTAAAGGCTGAGGGGCGTCGGGTAACGCTTCCTCACGGCACCAGCTACAGCTGCAGCGTTGGGGGCCGCCTCGTCGTAGGGCACGCGCGCCAAGCGCTGCTGCCGCGTCTCCTCCACCGCTGCACTCAGTTCCACCTCACGGAGTTCGGCGTTGTCGAACAGCGTCTGCGTGTGATGGTCCTGCTCCAGCTGCACCAGGACCTCCTGCCGCTCCTTCAGGCGCTGCTCCAAGTAACGCACATGAGCCGCCAGACCATCCCACGTCGTCTCCGACTCCGCAAGTGGCAGTTCATACTGCCGCAGCCTCTCCTCGAGTTGTCTGCAGTTGTCGCAGAATTTGACGGTTCCTACCGCCTGTCGCAGTTGTATGATGTGCTCCGGGAGCTCTTCCGCCACAGTGCTGTCAATCATTGCGGCGCATGCTGAGGTGGGCCGCGGCCTCCTTTGCCGGCCGCCGTGGCGAGGCATCGGGGCAAGTCAAACTACGGAGAAGAGCACTGCCTTTGTCAGGGTGTCCAGCAGGTCGACCAACTGCTTCATTGTGAGAGCGCACCCTCAGTGGTGTCTGCCGCAGCGCACCCTGCTTCACCGCATCTTCAGCGCTCACCAGGCAAAGCCCAGCCTCTGTAAGAACGTACATCGAGGCGGCAAGCTCGAAGACGTCAAAAAGGTGGATGTCCTCTGACTCGGGCAGCGCTTCCTTGCCTCTCCAGCTGAGAAACCCGGCGATGGCCAGGAAAATCTTGCGATACTGCAGCAACCAGTAGCGATCGACGCAATTCTCAACGGTGGCGAGGAAGTGCTCACAGTCGCACGGGCCATCCTCCCTCCGCGGTCGCAGAATGTCACCGTCGCCTGCGCCGATATGCACGTAAAAAAACTCCTTCGTGTCCTCGGCCGTGATATACCCGGCGGCCCCAGCGTCCATGATGCGGAAACATTACGCAAGCATGTGTCATGTCCTTTGGAGCAGACTGTGGCGATCGCCGTCGCCGTGCTTCGTCTGCATATGCCACCTGCCCCATGCCGGCAGGAATATCTCTTGTGCCAGTGTGGCCATCCGTGTCCCTCTCATCGCCGTCTTCGTCGGACGGGGGTGTGGGGCGACAGCGGCGGTGCGACGACAAGCTGCGGAGTGTCACACGACCTCCGCCCAACCGCGCCACGTGGTGCCGCAGAGTCCGTCGCACCCGCTAAGCAAAGCCACTGTAACCAACAAAGTTTTGTAGCTCCTGCAGGTGGCGCAAGGCGGGGGCGGCGGGGCAGCAAACTTTGACGCTACGGACCGCACCGGCAAGTTCAGCTGTGTAAAGTTTCGCCGGCGGCACTGCATTTAGGCGACGACCGGCAGTACCGCCACGGCAAAGACGGTGGAACCCAGCGGCGGCGTTTCATCCGCATTGTCCCTCACCATGCGCGCGGGCGGTGCGGGAACAGTGCCAGCTTCCCGCTATTCGCCTGCTCAGCCCCACACCAACACCGCTGCGGAACAGCAGCGCGCCGCCCTAACGGTCTGTAGCTTGAAGGGAGGGGGGCAATGAGAGAGCGGAGGCGAGTAACAAAAAAAAAAAAAACGGGTCAAAAATGGAAGGCGAATGCGTGAGTGCGTGTTTGCATTGACAACGAGCGCGGCGGCAATCCCAATGAGGGCCTTCCCGGCCTTAGCTTCTGCCACTGCTCCTTTGCATAGTGCCACACACTCACATACACGCGCGGTTTCTCCCTCGCTGCATTATCAATCAAAGCGGGCATCTAAAGTACGCACTGCACATGCGTGCGAAAAAAAAAACAATAAAAAATCATCAACAACAGCAGAAAAGCCTCTAATTGTCTACGCATAGGCAGATATAACTGCCCACATGTACATCCACGTACGGTTCTGTTGCACGCCACTCTATCCTCCTCTCTCCCTCACTCTCACTGATTGAACTCGTCAATGAGAAGAATACTTTCACCCGCAGTTTCCTCCAGATCGGTTCCGTGCTTATCTTCTATTCGTGGCATGTCGTAGCTCGGCAGCCGCTCTGCAAGGACGGCGTGTCGGTTCTCCACAGCCATCTCCATCTTCGCAATGCGGCTCTCTAGCATCATCACCTTCGCATCCCGCTCCTCCAGCTGGCACTTGAGGCGGGTGAGTCCCTTCTTCGCCTCCTGCAGTTTGGAGGAGAGTGCCTGCCGCTGCACCAACTCCACGTGCACCCGCTGCATCTCCTCCTCCCGCTCCACAATGGCGGTGCGCAACCGGGTCTCTTCGGCGTCCAGTGCAACAACACGCTCGCGCTGCGCCTGCCCCTGCCCTTCCTTCGCGTTCATCTTCTCATCCTGCGAGGCCTTACGTTGGGCAAAGCGGAGACGCTCCTGCTGTAGCTGTTCCTCCCGTCGCCTGCACTCCTCCGCGAGGTGCTGGACATTCTGTGTCACCTCCTGCAGCAACTTGCGGCGCAGGTCAACGGCGCGTTCCCGCTCGACGAGAACAGAGGAGCGTGCCTGAAACTCGCGAAATGCAGCGAAGTCTGTCATCTCTACCAAACCGACAACCTCAGCGCCCTGCACGCGAGCAAGCATGCATGGAAACGCAAAACACACACAAAGCAAAAAAGAAAAGAAAAACAAAAGAAAAAAAGAAAAAAATGAGGTAAAAAGACGCACACACATATATATAAATACACACGCAAACAAAAACGGGAAGATATAAAAAGAAAAAAAAACAGTATTCTCCACTTCTCATACACATCACTAGGGACCAGTTGCCTCCATGCGTTCCAGAAGACGATCAATGACGACAACCTCTTCAATGACAGGCAACACATGCCACTTGGCACGATCCGGCACCAGCTGCATCACGGACGCCACCTCCCGCTCTGCCACCTCCACGCTTCTATAGTACGCGTACACGGAGGAGAACACGGCGTGACCTAGAACCTCCACCGCCATCCCCATACGCTGCTGCCGCCGCGCCGCCAATGAAGCTTCAAGGCTTCCCTGCGGCCACCTGGACGCCGTCGCCGACAGGCTGGCTGTCTTTTCTTGGTCCAAATGGTGCAAGTGGATGGGTGACGGCGATGGCAGCGATGAGGGTGGGGGGCTGCTGTCCATTACTGTCTGAAGTGTGTGATTGGTACCATTGGATGGGTCGGCCAAACGCCCCACCGGCGCAAGGCTGTTGTAGTAATACTTTTTGGGTGCGGTGCCGCGGCCGAAGCGGCTTTCATGCAGCGCCGCATCCCGCTGCAGCTTCTGCTTACGCATCTCACTCTGCACCAGCTGGCGATAACGCGCCACCTCTGCCTCCACGAGTTCTATTGGCACATGACGCATGTCCTCCACGTTACCGTCACCCAACTTCCATGAGAGGCGAGAGGAAATATCATCGGCACCGTCGCAGTCCTTTTGCCTCTCCCGATAGGGACTAACGTCGCTATCGCGTGAGCGCGTACTATGACCCCCGTGGTCCACGCGCAACGGCAGCGGCGGCATCCACGTTGAACAGGTGCCATCGTCAAAGGAGGAGTTGCGTGGCGACGACAGAAATTCTGGCTGTGGCGATGCGGGGACTGTTGTCCTCACCAAAATCCGCTCCTGCGATGACGAAAGCGTTGGACGCCGTTCCCAAAGATGCGGTAAACACGGAGCCATGGCCATAGTTTGGTTGCAAATACCAAGCCGCTGCATTTGCGCCGCCCACGTGCGCGCCGCCTCCAGGTCCTGCGACTTACGCGACGCCATTTGTTCCACTATTTTCTGCAGGGGTGCGCTCATCACGGGGGTGCGGAGAATTTCCTCGCAACTCGGCCGCTGCGCCGCGTCAAGGGAGAGCATGCTGTCGAGAAGCCGCGCAACCTCTGCAGGGCAGTGCCCAGGTAGCGGCGGCCTGGTTCCCGCCATCACCCTCATCATAAGAGTTGCAATATCGCGCGACTCAAACGGGTGGCAGAGGCTCAACAGCTCGAACAAGATGCACCCAAGCGACCAGACATCGGAGCTGGGGCTACATACGCCACTTTCAAGCACCTCCGGTGCCATGTAGAGAAGCGTCCCCCGCACCACCCCACCAAAAGGGCCGTTGATTAAGTCGCCACCGTCGTCGCCGCCGTCCCCAAACAGTTCACTGTCGCAACGCTTCGCAAACAGCTGCTGCGAGGCGGGCGTCAGCGGCGTGGCAAAAGGACTCCCCCTTTTACTGCCCCCCGCCGCACTCACAAACTCGGCCACGCCAAAGTCCCCCACCGCCACCTCTCTGCTGTTGGAATTCAGGAAGAGGTTGTGTGTTTTGAGGTCGCGGTGGACAATGCCCTGGTCGTGTAGGTAATGCATCCCCAGGTTTATCTCAGCAAACCAGGCCAGCACCTGCTCCATCGGCAGGTACTCGTTTTTCTCACGCTGCCGGGTGATGAGGGCCGCAAGGTCGCCGCCGTCATAATAGTCCATCACGATACAAAGACTGTCATTGAAGAGAAATGCGTCCCGCTGTGCAACGATGAAGGCGTGGTGCAGGCGGCTCATCACACGTATTTCCTGCGCCGCCTCCTTGCGCTGCTCCACCTCCAGGTCGGTGAGAGCGATGCGTTTCATGACGAGGAGCGCGTTGTCCGTCACGCGGCGCACCTTGAAGATGACTCCAAAGCTCCCCGTCGCCATCTTCTCCAGAATATGGTACTCATTCATCGTGCCGCCGCAGTCAGGTGGGGAAGAGTCAGGAGAGTGCTTCATGCAGGCAATTCACGACCTCGTTGCATGCACGCAATAGCGCCGCACGCGCCTTCTATCGACCTGCCTCCAATAACGCTTTCTCGCACCGTAACGCTCCGGACCTGTTTGTCCAGCACTACGTACGCTACGCACCCACAGCCACACTTCAACAGCAACAATAGAAAGAGATGAAGGAGTGAAGTAATAATGGACAAACCCTCTCCCTTCACAACACGACGAACCTCACATGAGCCACAGCACTCGCAAAGTGAGGGAAGGAAAACGACGTGTGTATGGTGTATGACTCTGTGCTAAAGAGACAATGGCAACAGTGGCATCGACCATACAAAAGGCGCTCCCCCCGACGCGCCGCTCCTCAGCTTCTTCCCCCAAAAGATTTCTTTACCTCTCTCGCCCTCTCTCTCTGTGGTAAGCAAAACAACAACACGCATAAAGGAAGCAGGGCGCACATGCTGCAGCCCATCAAAGACCAAGATGGCGCCGCTCTCGGTGCAGCGCCAGACGGTAACAGTAGTGTAACCTCGCGTCATCAACTAGAGCGGGAGCCTCTCGGTACGGCAGCGGCATGGTGTGGACGTCGTGCAAAAAAGCAGCATGACACCACGGCTCCCCATCCGCGTTATCATCTTCCCCCGCATGCCCCACTGTGCCTCGCCGCTCCATCCTACGCTCGAGCAGCTGCTGGAAGGTCTGCAGCTCCACCTCTCGTGGGAACACTCGCCAAGGAGCAAGCTTTGGGCCCTCCGTGCAGCCGGTGTCACTGTTTTCTTCCGCCGCCACTGTTAATGGCTGCCACACGGCGGGGGCAAAGACGGCCGTGGCGTGCACATGCAACGACAGCTGCAGTGGTGTCGGGGGCTGAAAAACTTCGACGCACCTCCTCTTCGCGGCAGAGCGGCCCGGTGACCTCAAGTGCGAGGCAGATGACAACACCGCCGCCGAGGGCAGCAGAGCAACAGCGGCGAGATCGCAGCTTTGCGCCACGCAAAATTTGCCAGTTGAAAACCACCCAGCCGTCTGTCGCCGCCGTCGTCGTAGTGGACGCAAAACACACAGCGTCTGCAGGCGTTCTTTCGCAGTATTCCGCAGCGTCAGCGTCTGTCGCACGTGTTTCCCGTCAGGAAATCGCAGCTCTGTGGCGCGCGTCATGCACTGCGGCACTCGTAAAAATAGCGACTGTTGGGGTGCGTTCCACACGCCAGCGCAGCTCTCCTCTCGCCACGGGCACCGGGTCCGCCTGCTTTTCACACGCGGCAGAGGCGGGACGACGACGCGGACTAACTCAAGGCACCCACCCGCGTCACCGGCATCGCTTAGCTGAGGCGAGTCGACCACAGCCATGACTGATGGGGATGGGAACGCCGCAGCCGCAGCCACCGAAGTCCGCGTGGCCGTGAAGAAACGCCGTCGCAGCGCCGCCTCATGCGCCGTAAGCGCTGATCGAATGTCGCCCCACCTGCCTGCAACATCAACATCCGACAGCGGTGGCAGCACGCGTTCACGCCATCGCTGGCAGAACGTTTGGCATGGAACAACGATAGGATCCAGCTGGAGCGACGTTGGCTGCCCGCCCTGAGGCGGCGCCCGTACTTCTTTTAGCGGCTGTTCTGCGGAGGGCAGCTGTGAGAACGGTGGCGGCGGCGACAACAACGGCAACGGCAACAATGATGCCGTCACTCGCACAGTGCCGCCCCACGCAGCGCAGAAGGTTGAGAGCATCTCGTCCCATGTCGCGGCCACTTCCCTGTCCATCACTGCCGGCGGCAGCCACACAAGCCGGCGAGCCTGCGGGCCTTGCTTCCCGCGATGCGGCGACTCAAAAACCAGCGGCATGTCAAAATGTGGCAGTGAAATCGACAAAAACAGCTGCGTCGGCCGCTCCGCAAAAAAATGTGGGGAATGTGGCAGGGGCAAACCCGCTGCCTCCACTGCCTGAGCCGCAGCCCCCATTGCTCCACTCGGGGGTCCGTGGACCAACTGCGGCAGCTGCAACGGCACTATTTCCACGCGGTATGGCATCTCCGCTGCCGTCTCTGTTGGGCAGCAGGAAGAGTGCTGCAGTGAACGCAGCGGCCTCCGTCGCGGCGTTGCTGCACTGCCGCGTTGGCTGATAAATGTCTGAAGAATGATGACGTTCTCCTGCCGCAGCATGTGGAGAAGCGCAAGACGCATAGAATCGTCAGAGTCCAAACTTTTAGGAGCGAATTTAAGCGGCATCGCGCTCACGCCCCCTCCCCCTGTGTGTCTATCGAACCCCTCGACGGCACGGAGAACGCAGATTAAGAGAAGGGGGGGGGGACGAGGCCGTACCGCAATCCACCACACACACGAGAGGTGTGAGGTGGAGGCAAACGCTCACACCCACACAACTACCAAGGCATCTAGAGAGATGCACATACGCACGCAACGGGGGGTAAAACATAAAAAAAGACATTACACACATACACACAACAACAATAATAATATAATATGTTCCTGGTACGTAAGCCACACCATGGGGGAGAACTGGAATGCTGCATCCAGGCGGAATGAACATTACGCATACCTCACAACGACGTGGTGGGATGCGTAAACGCATTCCGCACCATCGCCTCCTTGCACGCCATTAAGTGTTCACCAAAAAGCTCGTTGTACCACTCCTTCCCCTCATCAGTCGCCGTCCACAGATCATAATCGTCTAGCCCAAACCCTCCCTCCAGTGATTCGTTATCCTCGCCAGCCTCATCCTCCTCGCCAGCCTCATCCTCCTCGCCCAGGACACCGCGGCGTATTGTTTGAGTCTTTGATCTTGCTGTATCAACGCTGCTGGTCTCCTGCTGTTGTGCCGTTCCCAACTCTTCATCAGCCTGCTGTTCCTGCAGAAGGAGCAACAAATCCTCCTGCAGGCGCGTCACAAGCGTGAGGTGTTGCACATCACCTGCCTTTATGTACGACGACACCCGATGAAGGTGGAGGTCAATCTCGTATCGGCGCAGTACAAGGCGCTCCTCAAGCGACTTTTCCGCGACGCGTCGCTCGAAATCGGCGGTGTTTGTACACCCATTCTCCTGCTGCAAATAAAGACGAGGCGGTGGGGTCCCCCGCGCAAAAGGGCTTGCAGGCAGTGGGGATGGCGTTTTGAAGGTCTCTGCCTTTTTATAGAAGGGCGGCCGCGGAGAATGGGCCTCCGTGTCACCGTGCACTTGAGAGCACCGCAGCGCCTCCCGTTCCCGTTCCCGCTCCCGCTCCAAGGAGGTGATGCGATCATCCATCTCGCGCAGCTTCCGCAACGCCACTCGCTCCTTGGGGGGTTCACCAGATTCTTCGCCCAGAAGATGTATGTACTGTGGCGGCATCGAGGGTGGTGGCGGTGGCGGGCGACACGACGCCACCCCCGGCGTCGGATCTAGAGGGACGTCACGCGGTAACGGAAACGTCAGCTGCGTTTCCACAGGCTCGTCTTGTGCCACGGGCAGGATGCATCGTATCGTCGACTGCGCCGTATATGGAGCCCGCAGTGACTGCACAGGCGACAGAATGCCAGCTGCATCTTGTTCCACGTAAGTGGCGCCCCCATTACTACAACTACCGCGGGCACAGTCTGCTGCGGCCTCAGGGGCAACGGGCATGCGTGGATTCTCAATGTGGTCATCCATATAACGCAGAATGGCCTCCACACGTGCATCCCGCTGCGTGCCACCCACTTCAAACTCCAAGCGCGGCTGTGGCTCTGACGACGGTGGCGGTGGCATCATCACCAAAACGTTCTCCACGGTGCATTGCTGCTGTGCCTCGGCAGCCGACACCAGCGGCAGCGGACACGCGCCCTCCTCATGTCCCCTTCGTTCAAGCTGTGGCTTGTCTGCCCCAGAGAGGCTTGTGTGCTCCTCCGCGAGTTTCTCCACCACAGGGAGGGCACGACCAGCGACGGAGGCCTGAAGGATACGCAAGACGTTTGCCACAAAGACGATCTCGTTAGCGTCGCCGAGGCGCATCACAACATCACGCCCCTCCTGAATTTTCCAGACAACGTACATGTCACGGCAGGTTATCATCTTGGCGATGCGATCGATGCGGCAGCATCGCGAGATCTTCCCGGCGGGCTTGCAGAGGTACCAGTGGCTGCGCGAGATAAGAAGGTGGCATGGCAGACGTCTACCGAACCGCGTGCGTCGTGTAACGCGTGCGTAGTAAAGAATGACAGGAATCACTCCCCCCGCGGTGGACGAGGGCGGTGGCAGCAACTGGCGAAAGGCCTCGTAGGCCTCGCGTTCCATCGCCTCCAAAGGCACGATGGCTAACTGAGAGACGGGATCACGGCAGTCAGACGCCATGCACACACTCACACCCGCCGTATTCTGCTTCCTGTTTTTTTTTCTTATCTTTATCTTTTTGTTTTTGTTTTTTGCTTGAGTTTCACTTTCTCCTCTGCTGCCCCGTTGACGCAGTGGGAGTCAGTGCCGGCGTGGCGGCGAACGAAATGATGTGCACTGCGCTAGACTAACCGTGTGCCTCCCTGCCCATGCACCTCCACCGCGGGAGAGGGACAGCGTCGTCGGCGAGGTCGAGCTAGAGACACTGAAAGAGAGGCCCAACCGCAATGAGGGGGGAAGCACAAGACTACCACCACCACCGCCAGCACGCGTTCCCCTCTAGAGAGAGAGAGAGAGAGACAACAATAAATAATAATATAATATCTCTATTAACTAACCAAAACAAAACC